GGTCCGCAGGAAATCCCACTGTGCTTATAGTTCAAGACTGAAAAAAATTTTTGGATTGAGAAAAATCCCCAAAAAAACAAGAATGATGAGGTAAGGTTTAGTAGATATTCAGACAGCAGTCCAAGCCGAACAACTCCAACACCCTGAAGAATTTGATCTCTTTTCTGTTGCTTAACTTTACTTTAAAGTCGCCACCATAAGTTTAGGGCACATTTCGGCTCGTTAATGTTTTTGCATATTTATACTATGCTAATATTGTTGGATGCTAATTACATAAACTCTATTCAAGACAGCATGGAAGACATTTAATAAATCAAACGAGCAGAAAAAGAAGCATGCGGGGTAACTATTGTTGAGGGATTTGTGTTACAATGAGAACACACTTTTTAAACAAATCTCCTTGAACTAAGGCATTGATTTGCTTTATAAAATAAACATTTTAGTTCTAAAGCTTTATTTTAACTCAAATCCCTGAAAATTTCTGGCATGATTGTCAGGGGCAACGACTACGTGATGGCTAAAGCCAAGCTTTTTCACTAATTCGACTTTTAAATTAACAACCAATAGCTTTAAAGTGGTGGTGTCTTTTATAACTATGCAGTTTCATCGCTAACGGGGCGCTAGTCTAAAATCGACCAAAAAATTAATGATTTGCTATAAAAACGCAGTAGAAAGAATGAGCAGGCTTATAGCACCGGCTTTAATTATGTTTGTTCAAAAATCATTAATGAAATTGGTTGCGGGAATCTCAAAAGAGGTTGTTCGTGCTCAGTGCTTTCAAAAACATCTTTAACTTTGCTCATTACTCAAACCTCGAATTAGCAAAATTATTAGAAACAACATTCTGCAGTATGCCGAGGAAGAAAGGACAAGCAAATCTTTTATTAAAATTAGCTCAAAAACTTCATTTTGGTTAGTAAAAGTAATGATAATATTCAAGGAATAAAAATTCCGTCTTTTTTATTTAGCGAGGTGCCTTGAAAATACAAGAAAACGAATAAAAGAAGGCAAAGTGTGATCTTAGCCTAGGCTCGCTCTTGCCCTTGTCATCCGTTCTTGAAGATTTTTTTAAGTTATCGTGTAGTTTAGCAAAGTAATGTGCACCAAAGAGTTTTGTCGGTTCCTTGCTTCAGCTT